CCCCAAAACCCCAAAACCCCATAAGCACTTATTTGAATCAATATTTGTAATAAGGAATAATGAAATTAATAAACTAATCATGTATCAATATTAAAGATTATAATCTAAATTAGCGTATTAAGATTAAATGAATTCTTGTTAAAAGTCAGAGCTACTTGTTTACTTCTTGTTTGACCTTGCTATCTTCACAAAAACCTCAGTTACTTGGGACCAAGTTAAGTAAGTATGCTCCTTTCTTGCCAATTACACTTATTTTAAATATTCATTAAAAATTAGATTTGTTTTATATAAACCCAGAATTTAGATGTGACTCAGTGATTCCGAAGATTTGGCCAGTCACATTCTGCCCTATTATCACTCTGGTATGAATTATCGAGTTGGCCTACAGCCGTGAGATACCCAGGAAAACAAGGGTGCAAATAGTTTACTTTGGAATACTAATGCCTCTCTGCATTTTCCTAGCAGTTATTGCTTTCTTCTTCATGTCTAGTGAATAAAACTCTTGTGTAAGTCGTCATTATCACCACTGGATTCTTGAGGATAATTTTAACTTGATAGATAACTGGAGAATTTATTGTTGTTCTTTTTATTGGTCTAATCAGAATGCTGTACTTCATCTTAATTGCTCTGAAAACTATGCAAATCAACAGACTTGAAAGAGATTATCTAAACTAGCAACGAAGTCAGTAATCGAAATAATACTAAATCCTTTTCTATTAATATGCACCATATAATAAAATCATTTAGACAATCAATTGTAACAAGATTTGTTGAATCAAACTAGAGAATAATTACTTAGGGCGGGTAAACTATATATCAATGATTGCATATAGGTGTATTTGACGAAGAATCTCCAAGTGTTCCCGGTCTCAATGCCCAGTAACTAATGAGGGTGAAGCCAAACATGGCTGATCTCTCAAGATCCATTAAGGATGACGAGGTCTGTCCCATTTGTCAAATGGAACTTAAAGACCTTACAATTATTACACAAATTCCAGAATGCAAGCACATGTTTCATGTGAACTGCATCGCGGAGTGGCTCCGTCGCAAAGCCATATGTCCTTGCTGCAACAGAAATTTATCTACCATCTTTGACCAAAGAACCACTGCTGATCTTGATTCTTTTATAGTACCTGACAATTATGATAACAATCAACATTTACAACAAAATGCCCATGTCTCAATTAGCAATGTTAATCTAGAAAATAACAACAATAATGAGAATCAAAATCACTCCTACAGTGGCAATAATATTCATGAAGATTAGAACTAAATCATTTGAATTGGATTAAATTTGGGTAGATATTTCATAGAGCAGCAAAGATAATGATAGAATTTGAATATTGAGTATTCAGGTTTATCTATCGATCTCCTAATGATTTAATAAATCTACATAATCTTGCTTAAAATTTTATTAAACTAGCCAATGTTAAATTAATTTATTCTCATAGAAGTTTTATAATGCTTATATTTATAATATAGGAAATACAAGATTCAATTAAAATTTTTAATCCACTCAGAACCAATGATTGTTTGGTATTCCTAATTTCCTTAATTATGAGCTCCATGGGGTTTTGGGGTTTTGGG